TCTTTCTACTGTTCCCCTGATTAGTCTTCTTTTGTTCTTGCTCCTTAGTAATGTTTCTGTTTTTTTTTTTTTATTTCTGCCATACCTAGCAATCCATTGTATCCTCATGGCTTTACTGCCTTGTTTGAGATGAACTTGATTAAAAATAAAAAAAAGAAACCTTTATTTATCTTGTTCCTTAATGTCTTTGATCTGAAGTTCTATGTCTGATTTTATTTGTAGGGTACCAAAGTTTAATGTGTTTACAGTAGTTGATCAAATAGTTAATAATCCATTAGTTATAGTTACTATTTAATCTCATAATCCTCCTCCTTTCTAAATTTTACTGATAAATCCATTTGAAAGTTATTCTACTTATTTGCTTTACCAAACTAAGAATTATATTCATCAAATTTGCAATAATGAATTTTAATTCCATGTTTATTATTTTCATGAACAATGTTTATATAATTTTTCATAATCCTTCTATAGGATAATAATTAGAATTTTACAACTGGTAAAAATTCTTTTCAGAGAATCATCTGAAATATGATTTCTCTTTGATCTTCTGTTTTGCCTTATATAATTGCCTCTTAGGCTTGTTCAATAAGTTTGTGGATTAGTGTTAGGGTTTATATAATTAAAGATCCTTTACTTATGGTCACATTTGTTTTTTTGCGCAGTCACTCAGTTCTGTTTGACTTTCATTCAAGTACATAGTAAAGATTTTAATGCCAACTGCTGATAGAATGCGCATTACTTGAATCCTTTTACTTGTTCTTAATCTTCTAAATAGGATTAGAATAGCCAAGAATTATTAACCTGTTTCTCATTTCATGCTTCTTGTTATCTTGAGCCTACTTTCTTGCTTTTGATTTCATACACAGATTTGCCCCAAGTTAATCAGTGTATTAACCTTGGCTTTGATTATTCTTTTTGACTTTATACATTTTTCTTCAATGCAGATTTTTTTTATTCCATATTTCTTGAAATCCTAAGTGATGTAACTACACCTGTTGCTGATCGAATATCGATCATACGTTTAGGTTTACGTTCTTTCTTTTTCTTGTTTGTGATTCATTTTTGAAGTTGGTTTGAATAAAATTTTGAGAATTACCTTACTTTCTATTGTCAGGTTATCTTATAAACATTGATCTAACATCTATAATTATTTGTCTTCACTTCCCTCACACTTGAAATCCAATCATTTTAATTAACTCATCTCACATCCTTTCAGTTTGAAGTCAAGATTCTAATAACATAATTTTGACTCTCACTGTTTCTGATCTATTGCTATAATTTTCTTCAGCAAAGAATATCGGATGAAAATCTTTAGTAACTGCCTATGATTCAATATTTCTAAATATAAAATTTAGGTTCCAATCTAAACATGCACTGATTCTGTTTTTATTATTTTCTTGATTCTAGTTTGATTTGGATTTCAAATAATCCAGACTTCAATTCTTGGCTCAAATCATATATTTAGAAAGATAGAATATTCTTCAATTGTTTTCTTTTTGGTTTTTGGAAAATATCTTTTAAACCTACACTCAAGAGTAAAGCCAATTCATCAGAACTTGTCGACCAGTTTAATCTTACCTATTTTAGAGCTTCAAGTTCAAAAGGTGCATACTTTTATTCTCACCATAATTATTCATTTATTTTATGAATAAAAGAAAGACAGCTTTACAACTGCTACTTATCCACTAAAAAAGATATAACTGGGTATTGTTCTTGATGAAAATAACTCAGCACTTTTAACTACAAGTTCATGGTGAGATCAGTTGACTCTAAAGCACTGATCAATTGCACTCAGTGCCTTACAAGCGGATTTTATCCATGTGCTTTGTAGTTTTTCTTTTTACAGATTGCAAAGAAATAACTGAATTCAAGATTTTTACTAAGCAAGATGCAGAGAAAGGAATCTTAAAACAGTAAATAGTGGGAACATAAATTCTAAATTTAGTAAAAACATTTTAATACTTCCTTGTTTCTGGCTTAGATTAATCTCAAGTGCAGCAATAAGTTTTTTTCTTAAAATATACACAATATAATAATGATGGTACAGAGCTTGATGAGAGTTACATCTTCAATATCTCCTGACATTAGATACTCTAAGTATAACATTCTTAGGCTGATTCAAACTCTTTAAATTCATTACTAATATTAGAACTCTATATCACAAGTGAAATTGAATGTAAGCATTCTTTTGATGTGTTTCATGATAAATAATATATAAATAGTTATAAAAATGTTATGATGAATAATCTGTAAATATATATATATAAATTTTATGGTAAATCTGTAAATATATATATATATAAATTTTATAAATCTATATATATATATATAAATTTTATGGTAAATCTGTAAATATATATATATATAAATTTTATGGTAAATCTGTAAATATATATATATATAAATTTTATAAATCTGTAAATATATATATATATAAATTTTATGGTAAATCTGTAAATATATATATATATAAATTTTATGGTAAATCTGTAAATATATATATATATAAATTTTATGGTAAATCTGTAAATATATAAAATTTTATATATGTAATTATATATAAATTTCATGATAAATAACATGAATATTTATAAAATGGTATGATAAATAATATATAAATATTTATAAAAATGTTATGATGATTAATATGCATATATATATATATATATATATATACATTTTATGATAAATAATATATAAATATTTATAAAAATATTATGATGAATAATATGCATATATATATATATATATATATATATATATATATATATATATATATATAAATTTTATCATAAATAATATATAAATATTTATAAAAATGTTATGATGAATAATATGCAAATATATATATAAATTGTATGATAAATTTGTAAACATATATAAAAATTTTATGATAAATAATATGTAAATATAAATTTTAGGAAAAATAATATAAATATTTACAAATTTTATAATAATAGTACTGCTAGTTCACTGGAAATATTTATGCTTTTGCTTTATGAGATCACAAAAACAGAAATTATTTTTGCTATAGCAAAAATAATCCTAATTGTTTTTGAAATTGTTTTAGGTATTCATCAGTCTTGGGAACCTATGAAATCATATTCTGGGTGATGTGCCAGGCATCTCATGGTCTGGCAGATAGATATAGGAAAGAGATTGTTACCCATGCAGTAGGTCTCGCTCTACACCTTGAAGAAATGCTCCAATGAAAAAGCAAGTGCTGATACAATTGGTTCCAGCTACATTGCAGTTTTTTTAAATTCAGATTTGTCCTTTCCTGAGACTAGTTCCCAATCAAAACTAGAGAAACCAGTCAGTACTGCTATTTAACCCATAGCTGGGGAGAAAGATGTTGATTTATAAATTTCCCAAGGATAGTTGTGTGAATGTGAATGCAATGACCTCAGCCAGAATATTAAATGGAACACTGATCTAATTTTCCATGCCAAGAAGCACTACATTATAGGAATATCAGTTTTTAAATGATTAAACACAAATGCAAGCAAGACCTGGGAAAATTCCACAACACATTTTCACCAGTAAGGTATAAAAAAATGAAGAAAGTGATATATTTTAAGAATATAGTAAAAAAAATAACAGTTAAATTTTAAATATTACTTGTACTTCTTTTTTGTTTACCTTGAAAAAAAATAATAAAATTTTATTTTTATACAGTGTCAATCTCTTTGTCTGTAGATTTTGCAATATGATTGAAGTTCATTAAGTTGCAGGTCTTTTTCTCTGAAAACTGTTGGAATTTCAGCGAAGACCAAACTTTTCGAAAAAATTTCATTAGAAACAAAGAAAAGTATACTTAACTGTTATGTAATATCAGTCCTCCTATATGGCAGTGAATAATGGAAGGTGTTCTCACAAATAAAAGACATGAAGCAACAGAAATGTGGTTCTACAAAAGTCGGGCTGAACATGTGAACAATGATGAAATTTTTGAGAAAATGGAAACAAAAAGGACATTTACACTTAACATCAGAAAGAGATAGTTGAAATTTCTAGGGCATGAGGAAAGAGGACTTGGAAAATTTTATACTAACAGGTCAGATTAAAGGTAAAATGGACAGAGGAAAACTATGCATAATCTACGTAGCAAGTAAGTAAGTAAGTAAGTAAGTGGATGTAAGTTTTATGAGTGATAACAAAAAGACAGTATTTACTAAAACATACAAAGGACAATGAATTGTGGAGAGCCATGATATCCAACATCCTGAAGAGACATGACACATAGAAGAAGAATGACATTTACAATGTATACAATAATATTTCACAATTTATAAGTAATATTTCCTTTGGCACAACGTAGACTTTTGCATTGCACTTGCTGATATTCTATAATTTGATGCAAAAAGTCTTCTAACAGATTTTTCTCTATCCCAAATTACAGACTGAAGTATTGTGACTGAAAACAAACATCTTGAAACTTAAAAGTAATTGTTAGAAGTGTTCATTAATATTCTTTTTCAAGATGTATTAATTTCCTTTCAAATTGTGCAGTGGAATTTCCTTCAATATCTTAGAAACTTTGCAGGATTTTATCATTATGTATATCGATCACACAAGAGAAGAACTTGAAAGAAACTCAATAGCATGATACCAATTTGCATTTGGATATAAATCACAAAGATAGCTAGAAGCAGATATGAAAATAACATTGTGGATTTTACAAATGAAATTAAAAATATTTCCATTTTCATCAATAACTATATCTATTTCATTATTTTTTCCTTGTGAGGTTGTATTTTCTCAGTTCTCAAATTTTTTTGTCTGGGCCAAGGGACTACCAATTGTTGAACACTTAGCTGAAATGTTTATTAAAATGAAACTAATATAGAGTAAGAATTAATTTCTGGCTTTTGTTTTCTTAACATTGATTCATATTTTTTATTTTTATTTATTTTAAGCATTTCACCCCAAGCGAGGCAGGAGTGCCACTAGCATACAAGGGGTTACAGAGAGTGAAAGTAAGACTAAAGAGAAGACTTACAGCCACATCATGTTGAAACACAAGTTCGTGTATGATCACTGAAGTTAAGCAACTTTGAGCCTGGTCAGTACCTAGATGGGTGACTGCTTGGGATTACCAGGTGCTGTAAGCTTGGATTTTTGGGTTGTGTAATGGATAATGGCTCAGAATTGTCAATCGGAAAGCCAAGTTCCACTTCTCATTGGGTTCATTATGTTCACTTACATGCAAATACCCTTGGAAAAATTTTGAATCCACCTCTTCTCCTTACAACAATGAGTTAATTAGTAAAACTTGAATCATTAAATCATTATTATCTAAAAAAAAAAAAAAAAAAAAAAAATAACCTGCAAAGGGTTGATAAGCTGTCAAAAAACAAATCAATTAATCTTTAGATTTATAAAGCTAGCTTTTTGCAGGATGGGATGAATAATCAGGTTTATGACCCCTGGTATTGTTTATCCTACAAACAATATTTTACAGATTTATATGTGTCTGAGTAAATAAGGACTCAAGATGAAATTGATAACATTGGCAGCAGTTTGATAGAAAAAATTCAACATTATATTAGATGAAAAAATATGAACAAAATAAAATCACTTGATAAAACATGTTTACAGTATTATTAATGTTTCACTGGTATAATTATACAGAAAAAAGACATGTCATCATTTTCAGTTGTTAAATGTTCATACATGATTTCCAGTTGAAGATACTGATGTGTGGAACTACTTATAAGATGTGTGTGTTTGCAAGAGGGAGAAAATGTTGCTTCGGGGATCATCAAGTGAGGCTTTAAAAAATAATCCCATCTGTAATTCTAAACCAGGAGCACTAATCATACAACTTATATTCTATTTCCTATACACTAATACTATAAGTGGTAAAACACCCAAAATTAGCTAAGTATTTTTGAAAAAAATAATTTGGGGATTTAATAGCTTACCTTGCTAGCAATTCCAAGTTGTTAATCGTACATTGTCGTTTTCTTTCTGTCTCAACAAATTATCTCATTTTAGAGCTATTATTAAATATTTCTAGTTATTATTAATTAGATTTTCAATAGTTTAACACAATGTTATACTTATTCACAGGAGAAACAACTTATATCATCAAAAGACACAAGGCATCTCAACACATGGCATGTTTCCATCCAACTCCCAGCTGACATTTTTCTTGCATTCAAGAGTGAAAATGGTGTGTTGCTTTTGCATTCTCATGGCTGGGATTGGAGTTTGTGAAGATATTGTATAGGATGCCTTGATGAATGCAAGAGTTACTGTACCAGTAGGAAGTTGCATACTGGTTATCTTCAATACTAAAAAAAAAAAAAAAACTATATATATGGTATGATATCAATGGGATATATAGTATTGCTTGTATCTAGTGACTGGGGTTCCTCTCTACAACTTCACCTTTCAGTGCAGAGACACAGAGTGAATTTCGAGGACAATTTTTTTGAAAAAATGTGTCTTAGCATACAGAAAATATGTTTAATTAATTCCTTCCTCTTCTTCTCTTACTCAATTTGTTTTTCTTGTTCACCATCATTTTTAAATGCCTGCATTCTTTTTACCAACCACTGGTATCAATCAGCATTCAAAATTTCAGCAGTTTAGCGTTTCAATATGTTTATCAATTTTCTTCATTTTGTAATGTACAATGCTTTCATGAAGTCCAAGCATTTCTCAGCAGAACTGTATTCTGTCGTCTATTCAAAATTAGTTTACATGGACACATTGTCTTTTTCCTGCAATCAAGCCAAATTCTAACCATAACTTGGAAGGAAGTACATATTTACATCTTTATTTTTTTCTTGTTATACTACTACTACAAATAATAATAATAATAATAATAATTATAAAAACAACAAATTGGATCCATAGCAATTCCACAGATGTTGACATCTACAGTTATCCATTGTTTTATGCCTCTGCTTTTTCTTTGCCTGTATTTTCTTATTCTCTCCCTTGTCCATTCCAATCTTCATTACCTTACCATATGTGTGTTTTCCATGAAGTACTTGCATTTCTCAGCAGGATCATATTCTGTTATGTATTCAAGATTAGTTTACATGAAGACATTGTCTTTTTTATGCAATTCAAACTATGACAGAGAAGGAAGCTGACATTTAGATCTTGATTTATTTTTCACATTTATCCCACTTTCCTTTTGTTATACAAATAATACTAATAATAAATATAAACAACAACAGTAAACTTAATCCATGGAAATTCCACAGATGTTGGCAACTAATATTATTCATTATCTCATGCTTCTGTTTTTTTTCTTATTTTTTGCCTGTATCTTCTCCTTAATGCCCATATCACTTCCAAACTTCATTACCTGACCATGTTTTTTTTTGCATGCAAACACAGATTAGATCCTTATGTGAAAAAAAGAATAAGGGATGTATAAGATGAAAAGAACATTTTGTTATTCATGTGGTTAGAGTAAAAGAGAATGAGATGTTCAAATATCTTACTGGGAGTGTTAATCTTAGAGATTAATGTTTTAGAATTCAAATAAAACATAAATTGAAGGAACATGCCAAAGAAAATGGTAAAATTTGAAAACTCAGTTTATATTAGTATATACCTAAATTAATTGGGTAAGTTACTTTATATTTCCATCTGCATTTTCTGCTTTTAATATATACTGTGTCAAATTATCCAAGCATTCTTTCCTCATTATGTGTAGTAGAAATCTCTTTCTGATTTTAAGCACACTCATTCCCATTTTCTTTAATGATTCCTTGTTCCTCACATGTTCATTCCATCCTTCTGTACAGCCACATCTCTGTTGACTCAAGTATCCTCTTCATATATAAGGAAATTGTCCAACATTCACTGCCATATAGGAGGATTGACGTTATGTAGCAGTTCAAGAGAATTTTCTTTGTTGAAATGAAATGCTATGTTTCTTAGTATGTTTTGCTTTTGGAAGGCAGCTATTCTAATGTGTCTGGGTTTTTCTGTCGCATTTCCATCATCTGTTATAAGACATCCCAGACAGTTAAATTTCTATACTTGCTTGATTTTGATGTTTTTAATTCAAAGCTCACATCTCCATCTGTCCTTCTTTCTGACCACCATGTTTTAATTAGTCTTCAAGTTAGGAGATTTACTTCGTTCATTCTCTAACCACTGTCTCTTTCTGATTTTTCATTCGCATTACTCTTAAATCTTCCTTAGTGTTCACATGTTCAGTCTATGGTAGTATCAACAACTGTTTGTTGCATGGAGTCTCTTCTTCATCTGTACTTGCTTCCAATGTTCAACATCTCAACTTGAAAAAAAATCTACACTCATTTCAAGGGAGAGTTAAAAATTTAGAGACAATTATAAAACACCATTGAATAAAGTAGAACAGATGATATACAGTGCATTGACTGATGATTCAAGCACCACCAGCACTGAATTGGGATGTGGTTTGATGAAATGGTAAAAGTATGTAATATCAGTCCTCCAATATGGCAGTGAATGCTGGATAATCTTCTCAAAGATAAAGATGAGACATGAAACAACAGAAATGTGGTTCTATAGAAGAATGGTGAGAATACTATGAACTGAACATGTGATCAACAATGAAGTTTTAGAGAAAATGGAATCAAAAAGGACAGATACTTAGAATCAAAAAGAGAAATTTGTAATTTCTAGGGCACATAATAAGGAAAATATTATACTCACAGAAAATAGTGAACGCAAGAGGGAGAGAGGAAAATGGTGTATGACCTACCTAATGAGCTTGTGTAAATAGTTGATAGAACAGTGATTAGGAGAGATAGCAAAAATACAAACTATATTAAGAGTTACAAAAGATAGGAAATTGTGAAGAGCCATGATCGTCAACATCCTGAAGAGACATGAAGATGTGTGTGCACACACTTTCAGAACAAGGAGATAATTTTGCTAGAAATATGATATAAAAACATTATATGCATAAAAACAGTATGAAAAATTGTACGAAATAATTTATAAATAAAAGACTAAAAATATTAAATATCACTTTCTAAATATTTTTGATGTGTACAAACATATATACAACAATCTTTTCATATCAAGAAGCAAAATTCCATCAAGCAAATGAATCATTTAGACCATAAAGAAGATGATTCTTCATAGACCCTATAGTTTGACAAAATTTCAAGCAAGCTTTACCAAAATAACAAAAACCACATCACTTGAATGTATACAACAGCAACAACAACTAAAATGAGTAGCATGTGTAATTAGTAGTGAAATATTAATACAATGAATATGTTGACATTCCACCCAACCAAAAACAAAAGATTAAGAAGGAAATCCCGATTAATGCTAGAAGGAACAATTACTTAAGGTGCCTATTTTCCTGCAAAACTGTTTTAACCAAAATTTTATAAATTTTAACTAAGAGTTAAATTGTTCAGTCAATGAATGTCAATTTTTTTCCTTTATGAAAATAACTATTTTCCCCATTACCATGTATACTTTGCTTTGGGCACCAAGAAAAACAAGTGAGTGTATTTTAAAGAATATATATTCTAATAGGGTACAGGTCTTGGCAATAAGATACTCAGAAGGACAAGAATGAAAACGACAAAAAACAACCCAGATTCCTTTGCAATTGGAAAGAAAAAGTAATTCTTGACATTGTTGAAAGATAAACATTGAGATAAACTTAAGAAATAGAGTGTATTTATTTAGTCGGGTTCAATGTTTTTGTAATCTGTATGGCTGTGTACATGATATGTTCTGATCAAAACATCTTTATTCAGTTAGAGAGGGGATTTTTTGAAATCAGGTTAGTGTTTGTATCTGAGCTGACCTAGAAGTAATGCTCATCTTTCAGTCTTATGGGAATTGTGTCAGAGATTAGGCATATTCATCTGTAATACCTGGATTATCTTCTTTCTGATCTAGTAATTCAGGACTGTCTCAAGAAATGTTTTCGCTTTTAAAAGAGTAAAAGGGGAGCTGGGATAAAAAGCCAAATGAGCTTTAAACAGTAAGAAACAGAAGAATATATAAAAAAAAAAGAATTACAATTAAAATGTGAAAGAGGCTATATTTGAAATATATTAAAGCAGTTATGCGAGAAGATGGTTAAAAATATTAAAAAAAAAATGAAAGAAATAAGGGTTAAAGTTAAG